AAAAAACTGGAAACAACTTTCCAGTTGGAAGATCGCTTCATATGGCTTAACAATACAAAAAGCCTTTCAATGAAGTAGTCGGTGGGATGTGGCAGAGTATTTATTGAGAATTGTATTTACTGAGAACTGAATAACTGAAGGACAATCACAATTTMAAACACTCTCAAGAATAATATGTACAATCACTCTGTTGCTGTCTCTCATGTATAAATACTCAAATATTCATAGTGTGAATGAAAATCAGTAAAATATTAACAGTAGTTGATCACGGCTGATAAAAATTGCAGGTGAGTCTCCYTTTTTTGCTCTCCTTCCCTTTCTTCCTCCCTCTCTCCTTTTACAATATCAAGTATAATTTATATGAATGAAATATAATAGTTTTTTAAGTGCTTGAAAAAGTACACAATTTGATAGTGTAGATTTCTTTGCCAATCAGAATGTTCACAGCCAAATCTAAACCTCATCTATAACTACCACTCTGGTCCTTACAACAAATGTATTTATTTTCTRGGCTTCTGCGTGAATTTTTACTTTATTGTATAATTATTATTGTAGTCATTTCTTCCAAATGGTTGGTGGGATGTGGCAGAGTACATGTAGTAGAAACAAATATCCCTAAAAAAAAGAACATGAATATTCAAAGTAAAGGGCCCAGGTAGTGCCAAATAACACTAAAAAAAAATTAATTTGATGAAACCTGACAAATTTTTTAAATTCCAAAGATAAAGAAGATATCTTGTAAGACTCCAGACAGAAAACAGAAAAAGAAAAAAGTGGTAACATTATCTATATACCAACAGGAGAATAGAATCAGACTGAGAACTTGTTGTATCAACAACACTCAATGACCAAAGACAGTGGACTCACCTGATGGGGGGAAAAACACCTGATGCCAGAATGCTAGCTCCAAAAGACAATTCCCAAAAAAGAAAAAAAAAAAAAAAGGAACTGATTTTTAGACATACACAAATTGCACACATGAATCTCTGAAAAATAATTTATTCATGAAAATATTCTAGTCAAACCAAAGAGAAAAAAATTCATGAATGAAAACATGAGACTGAACTGATACAGAAAGGCCATTTATTGCCAACAAGAGAAATAAATTCTGGATAAGCTCAAGACAGCAATCCTCTGGTGCCAGAAACAAAGACAAAATTCAAAGCAGAACAGAATGTGGGAGCTTATGATGCASCAATGCATGGAGAGTTTTAGAGACTCCGCAATATGTCCCAGGGGCCAGAATGTAGGACATATTTTGAAAATTTTCACAGAAAAAAGAATGGCATGATGAGCATTTACAAGTCTCCTGCTTAAACTCCATTATTGCCACCATTTTGAGTTTCTYTCTCAACACATGCTTTCTTTTCTCATTTCTTATTGCTGCACCTTGCCTAATAAGTAGCAGAGAAAAAAAAATCAAAGCAAAAGCCCAAGATGAAATAATAAAAGAACACTAAAGTAAAATAATTTAATAATCCAGTAAAAGCAAGGAAAAAGATGGAAGAGAAAATAACTATAAACAGCTGGGCATGATGGTGCACTTCTGTAAWCCAGCAAATTGGGAGGCTGAGGTAGGAGGATCACGGGTTTGAGGCCAGCCTCAGCAACTAAGTGAGGCCCTAAGCAATTCAGTGAGCTCAAAATAAAAAATAAAAAGGGCTAAGGATGTGGCTCAGTGGTAATGCACCTCTGGATTCAATCCAAGAATAATAATAATAATAACAACAACAACAACATTTACATACTACACATTACATTACATATTCTGCAAATTATAAGACACACTTGACAAAAGAGCTACTCACACTGAGAGAATTAATTCCTTTCTCTCTGAACCTAATATATCAAGTAATTAAAAATGTGCAAGGGGATATGCTGTTCCCAGCATTTTCCACCTGGCCTGGCACATTGAGGAGGCCCCTGCCAGTGTGTCCTACACACAGCCTTTTCACTGTGCCTGGGCAGCTGGAAAACGCCATGCCCATTTCCAAATTATCCCTTCACTCACCTAGACATGTACTTTGAGGTACTCCATTTCTCACTGCYTGGGGGTATTCTGCTTACTCTAACTGGGAGATGACTTTTGGTTTGGAAAATGTAATCCCTGTTCATTGAGAAGAAGACATGAGTGGCCATCCTGGAATAAAGTACCAGCTCTGCAGTCACTGGAGAAGAGGGATAGTGCAAGAAGGAGGTCTTGTTCAGGGAGGKGCTTTGGCTCCTAGTGGATGGTCAGGATCAAAGAAGGCAATGCACTCTTCTCAGCTGTAGCATTTTATGGGACCCAAGGGAACAGAGGGGGCGGTGTTGGGGAGAGAAGGAAATAGGAAAAGCATAGAGAAGACATAACTCAGTCAAGCTCAGACATCTCTGTATAGCCAAGAGGAATAGCAGCTATCACTCTGAACCCATGGYGGGGGGAGGAGAGGGCCTGTACCTGGCCAAGCCCTTCAAATATCCTCCTTGAAGGGGGACTCTGCATCCCATGGACAACTCCTTACCCAGTGAGACCAGGTTGCTGTAGTTCTCCAGCATCACTTCCCGATACAAGGTTCTCTGGGCAGAGTCCAGGTGCAACCACTCATCCTGGCTGAAGAGCACGGCCACATCCCTGAATGTCACAGACTCCTGGAACAGCAAACCCATTTCTACTCACTCATGATCACCCCTGGATGGAATAACTGAGAAACAACCCTATCACAACYCAGGATTCTAAGGATTTCAAGTAAAGCAAGTATTTCTGGATAATTTGGCTTTGTTACTGAGCACTTATTTATCATGYGCTTGCTTACTGTAAGTGACATATTGCACCCTCGGAAAGCTTAATCACAGCAGCCAAACAGAAGCAYGCTTGAAATCATGAAACAAAATCAAAATAACACACACAGAACTTTACGCTTGGAAATGTATAATTACCTAGGCCAAACTCTCACCTTACAGGTGACACACAAGAAGATTTTAGAAGGAGGTTCTAGTACTTTCACTTGGAGAGGACTAGATAGGAGACCTCTGGGCTTGCCTTAGAACACAGTTCGGTTGGTCCCAGTGATGGATTCTGTCATCACCATGGCCCACCTCTGTGTCCTGTGGGAGAGGACATTAATATTCACAGTGGGAGAGGCTCTGAGAATGCCCTGGGCAAGGCTTTACCAGGAGAGTGCCAAGGGTGGTAGTCTGCATAACCTTCAACAAAAAGCCAGGGAAGAGGGCTRTGATCAGGATTTCCCATCCACACCTCAGAAGCCTTTGCTCCTCTACCCCTCTGCCACCTACCAGGCAAGTCATCACTCTGAACTAGTGGCCCTTTCTTTTCTTTTTCAGAATTTTTTTTATAGATCTATTTTTAATAACACATATTAATTGTACATGTTAATGGGATTCACTGTGATATTTCCACACATGCATATAGAAAATGAGAAAAGATCAATAAGCAAGAAAACATGGAGTGTTAATCTCATTTTCTGCCACCAGAAAAAGTTTAACTTTTTGCTGTATGTCCTTTCAGACTTTTTACATTCAAACAAAAATCCAAATCACATTATGAGAAACAGCATTCTAGTCAATGTTCTTACTTGCTGTCTAATATTTCACTACATGGATAAACTAGTTTGTTTAATCTTGAGGTGGATGTTTAGGTTGTTTCCACTTTTGTAATACTCTACAAATGATAGGTTGACCCTCCGTGTACATCATCAGAAATGTGTACAAAGCTTGTTTYCTTAGCGTATATTTCTACAGCGTAAGTGCTAGGTCACAATTCATTTTCTTCTCACCATCCCCAAGGTGAACCCAAGCAGATCACAAGGTCAGACACCTTCCCTGACCCAGAAAGGCAAAAGAAAATTAAAAAGAAGTGACTTGTTTCTCCCCATTGGAAACATGGGAATATACATTTACTCCTATTCCTTTTTTTTCAGAATTTATCTTTTTTCAAACATATGTAAACTTTTTAGTGGTTAACTAAGTCACTTGCTAGTCTCACAAATGAGGAAACTTCCCTCAAGGAACTAACAGCTCTTTGAGTATAATCATCAAGACATATGCTAAAATAATGTAATGGAAGGTCATTAGGCCGAGAGGGCTCCAACACCCTGGGTTCCTAATGAAAGGAAACTTAAGCTCAGCCAATCAGAAGCACCACCTGTGTATTAATTACATCATCAGGAACTCTGCATGGAGACAGTCCAACTTTCACCAAATAATTTCTTTGCTCTACTTCTGCAGTGACCCTATAAAAGCTTTCTCCTCTTTCTCCTTTGGGTGGATCACAGAACCCTTCCAGCCTGATGTTTGCTCAAATAAACTCTTTAAAATTGAAATGTGCCAACATTTATCTTTTAACAAAGATAAAGGCTAATCTCCCAGTTTCTGGGGAGGAGATGGGCCTAACTTATCATTTAAGTCTAAACTGTAGAAACYACCTATTTCATTGGGTTGTATCCTCTTATTCTATGTAAGGTGAGCTTCTTGCAACCTCTTCTTAGAGTACATATGATGTGCATAACAATTTGGTTTCTGATTATAAAAATAATTACCTTTTTTCTCTTCTACTTTTGTGGAGAAGTTTTCTGTGTTGGGAGAATTTTTTTTTTAAATATATATCTCCCCAAATCCATTAATAATACAGAGTAAGTGCTTCTCAAAGTGCAGAGAAAGAAAGAAATTCCTACAAAGGATACTTTCTACCTCAAGGGAATGTAATCCCAAACCACTGCCCAAGCTTTGATTTCTTCTGGATGCCTTCCATTCACCAMCTATACAAGCCTGGTCTTGCCCAATGCTAGGAAGCTGCCCTGGCTACACCTGYTAACAAGGAGGTTTCTTTCTTCAATCTTTCTAGGAGTCACCTGGACTCTTATTACGTACAGTAGTTTCTTGGTATCCAAGACTCCTGCAGATACCAATATCTGAGGACACTTAGGCTCTTTATATAAAGTGGCCCTTATGTAAAATGGTATAGTATATAACCTATAAACATCCTCCAATATACTTAAAATCATATCTCAATTACTTATAATGCCTAATACAATGTAAATYGTTATTATAATGTATTGTTTRCGGAATGACAAGAATAAAGTCTGGCCAAGTTCAATACAAGCACACTTTTTTTTTCCCCCAAATATTTTTGATCTGTGRTTGGYTGAGTCCCTATATGTAGAACCCACAAATATGGAGGGTCCACTGTACTCTTATACGTTGGTTGTCTTAGGTTCCTTAAGGGCAAAGACCATGACTCTCCTCTTTGAATCCTTAGTAAGGAATTATTTGACACAGCAATGTGTTTATGCTCCATCATACCTGGATCCCTCACAAAGCTCTGGCTGTGGCAATGGCATGGGATGGACTCCCATTSAATTTCTAGTCAATAAGTACTTAGCTGTTAACTGGAGACTGCACCATCAGACTGGCCTGAAACAAAGGAAAMACCTTTCTTTCTAGCACCTAACCTACCATACCCTCTGGTCCCTCCAGGGGCTCTACTGTCTAGAGAAACTCAACAATGAATGAAACAACTTGGCTATCTATAAATCCTTAAGGCAGTTCAAGAAAGAAGCCTCCTTCACTCACCTGAATCTGTGCTGGCAGCAAACTCCTGGCCATTTCTCCCTCCCTGCTGGGGAAGGCACCTGAAACAGAGAAAGAAGCTGTGAGGACTATTCACCCTGCAWGCACTCTGCCCTCATTAAGACAGACCAGATTAGAAACCTCCACCAGAACAGAACTTCCAGCCTTAATGGCTTAATGGTATCAGCAGATCCAAGCCAAAAGGGCCCTGAGCATGGCCACCAAAGCCAAAAGTGGGCAAAAAGCATACTCCCAGTTACTGGGCCTTTCTGCCAGTCATTGTGAATAAAGATGAAACAAGCTAAKGGATTAAAACCATATGATATTCAATAACAAAGTAAAGGGCACAGTGACACATGGCTCACAGGTGTTAAAGTGAAAAGACATTAACATTTCACACATTGGCATTTGGATATTACTTGAGGTGAAAAATAGCATCRGAAGAATGGATACCGTTTTCAGAAACAATCAACTAAAAATTAGTCCTCTCTTATTTTCCTTTTAGAAATTCTACTTCTTTTATCAAAAAGAGTTACCAAGTTGCCTAAATGCAAAAGACATTAGAACTGACCTTTTATGATGGATACATTCTAAGAATTAAAAGCATGCTATTTTAAAATAGTGCAATAACTACTACATCAATAGAGTTTAGAAATKATTTTCCTCTTCACTGAATTGATCCACCCATCCTCATCCCTCAATGCACACAAGGGCTCAAGGGGTACATCACCGGCTAGAAATGAATTTAAACTGTAGAGAAAAGGGGATGGGGGTATATAACTCAATGATACAGTGCATTATGTGTGAAGCCCTGGGTTCCACCCCCACAATCCTGACCCCCAAAAATCAAATTTAAAATKTAGAGGAAAAAGGAAGTAACTTAGCAAATGGACAAAATTAACTTTAAAAAATGTACTTTAAAAAAAATAGTTAAATCACTCTAGGAGTCACTGTAGAAAAATACTGCCAAACGAGTAAGACTGACAAAAACGAAGTTTAAACTCTGGAGGATGGGGGGGGGGGAGATGTTAAATCAACAATCGCTGACTGCTGAAAACCGCCAGGGGACTCACCAACCCTGCATAGGAAGGACACAGTTCTCTAAAGTCTCTTTTCTGGGGACCACTTGTCCAGGAGAATGGCCTGAGAATGGCCTGAGAATGGCCCGGAGGTTAAGTGGTGTCACGCAGTCTTCCGGCCTCCCCGGGAGGACCTTCCCAGGCAACGCCCCCTGCCCGAGTCCGGTTCACCTGCCGAGGCCGCAATTGGGACGCGTAGGATTCACCCGCGACCGGCCCTCTGTCCTAGCCGCACCAAGGAAGCCCTGCGCCCTGGGCCCGCCCTCGCTGGCAGCTTGTACCTTAGTCCACCTGGGTGGGGACGCCAAGCTGCACACCGAACTGGAAGCGAGAACACCTAACACGGAGACATTTCTCCCCGCCACCGCCAAACCACCAGTACCACTGCGCAYGCGCAAGGGAGAGCCAACGGGTTTCCCTTTCTGAACAGCAGCGTTTTTCCTTTCAGACTACATTTCCCAGAAGGTCTGCGCGACACACCTTTTCTACGGTGTCTGAGAAGGAAACAATGGAATCCGTGCTAGTGAAAGCGACCTGGCTGGGGTCACAGAAGGCTGAAGCCTTGTCTTTCATTTAGACCACCTCACTTCCTTTATGCACTCAATGTATTCGTAATTATAATGACAATAATATTAAAGAAAGAAAATGTGGAAGTTACTGCTGATTATCCTTAGGAGATAAGAGGGCTGTTAAAGTCAATTTTCTATCCCCCATCCCGCCCCAGTACTGGAAATGGAACCAATGGTGGCTCTACTGCTGAGCTACATCTCCATGCCTTTTTTTTTTTTTTTTTTCCTTCCTTTTTCTTTAGAGACAGGGTCACGCTAACTTGTTGACGCTGGCCTTGAACTWGTGATTCTCCTGCCTCAGCCTGCCAAGTAAGTGGGCTTATAAGGCATGCACCACCACTCCCAACTCCACCTTTTTTTTTTTTTAATAAAAAAGATTAAATTTTAGATATATAGATATCACATAAATACATACACATATTTAATGAATAAGAATGATTGCTTTCCCTCTCAAATCAGCAACAAGGAAAGAATGTCTACTTTTACCACTTCCATTCCGCATTCTTTTGATGTAACCATTGGGATAAGGCAATAAAAAGCATCTGAGCAGGGCAGCGCAGGCCTGTAATCCCAGTGGCTAGGGAGGCTAAGGTAGGAGGATCTGAATTCAAAGACAGCCTCAGCATTTTAGCAACTTGGTAAAACCCTGTCTTTAAATAAAATATTAAAAGGGCTGAGGATGAGACTCAATGGTTAAGTGCCCCTGAGTTCTATTC